AACTTTATTTATCTCCCCATTGCTCACAACTTATCAGCTCTTTGTTACGGAGCTGGGAAAAAATTGACTAAGTTCAACAAAGAGTTAGTTCAAGTATTTAGTAAGAATTTGAATTTAAATATAAACCCTAACCTTTGTGATCATGGTAATTTGTTCATGTGAGTCATGCGTAATCTTAGCCGTTTCGGTATATTTAATTATTTCATGGATCAAATTATTTAATATCGGTTCTGATACTAAAATTAATTATTTCGCGGGTCAAATTATTTAAAACTTGTTCTAATGCTAAAATTAATTATTCGCATTAAACAGTTTACAATAAATAAAAACCTGCCCACATAGACAGGCCCGTGTAAATCTCTAACAATCAATATGTTCAAACCAAATATTGATAATTACCTTTTACATATGACCCACTAAGAAAAGGATCAGCCAACAACTCTGGAATTGTGGCTCGGGCTTTAGGATTTCTTTGCAAACAATTTTTCATAATTCTCAGCAAATTTTCATCAACCGGAACGTCTTGGTTAATCTCGTTTTCATCAGCTGAATGTGCTTGATTAGCATTGTATATCAAACTGGAAGTCGGAGGAAACTCGATATCGTAATCGGGGTCAGGAATACATTTGAATTTTTGATACATGTTTAGATGGGCAAATGGCGTATGACCATAAACTAGTTGATAAAGAATGCAGCCTAAAGACCAAACGTCGCTTGCACGTCCCAGCTACGTATCGCATAAATGAATAATTAATCATTATGTATCTGTATATGGTTCAAAGAATAGGTATTACTTACTTACTTTTATTAATTTTCCTTCAGATTTATTATTAGCATTGTAATCCTGAATAGCTTCTGGTGACATGTAATTTATTGTTCCAACCTAAAGCATTAACAATAAAAATTCGGTTACGATAAAATTAACAATAGCATATATTGAAGCATTCAATTACATACCTGTTGCTCCCTATGAATATTTGTAGTATCGTTCTGTATAGTTCTTGCTATACCAAAATCAATTAATTTTAGGGATCCATCAGTTATAATGAAGTTTGCTGGTTTCAAATCTGAATGAACGATTTTTTCCAAATGAATCGTGTAGACAGCTTCGAGCATCTATATACATTAAGGAAAAAAATCGCGTTAAAAATTGTTTCATCACATCTATAGACCAATTTTTTATTACATAATACCTGTTGCCAACATGTTCGGATAAAATCTATTTTTATAGGCTTTCCATTTTTACTATTGAGTAAATTTGCCAAGTCAATTTGTCCACATTCCATTAGCTAATAATAACGATAATATTAATAATATATAGATCATTAATGGATAAAATCAGATAGATAAAATAGTTTATTGAATTCACTCAACCATTAATATATATCCTTCTTCAACGTTAACCTCGTGATCATATAATTTTATTATACGATCTCTTCCA